AGGAATGTTACGTAAGGTTAGTTTTGTTTACAAACATTAATTATAGCGTGAAGTTTTCTTTAGTAATTAGTAATGCCAATCATAGCGTGAAGTTTTCTTTTGAACTGTCAATTAAACCGTGAAGGAATGTTACCTTAGGTTAGTTCTGTTTACAAACATTAATTAATGTTTGTACATACGTTCACAGGCGCTGCTGAAGATATTCCAGACATGTTTCAGACACATTTGTAGCGAAATGTTTCAAATGAAATGTTTCTGCTACATATTTTAATGATATTTCATAAATATTTCTACTGAAATGTATTTGATACATATATTTAGATACCTTTCGTAAAAATCGTATCTGTCACGTATATGAAACGTAGTTCTAAGATGTTTCATTTAATTCACTGTACGTTAAAATTGAAATGTTTCACAGATGTTTCTTGTTTACTGGGAACAATGTGAGGAGTCACTCTAAGTAATCATGTAAGGAGCAGTAATGATAGATGAATCCTGAGTCTAGGATGTAATGACGTATACGGGTCTTGATGACGGAAATGGAGAGATTGGCCAAGTGGACCATATTAGAAAAATCAAGTAATTGGCAACCCCTGGAAAGCCGTCTCAAAGATGGTAAAGAAACTTGGACTTCAAGACCACATAAGGTCATAAATGTAGAAAAAAATTGATATTGTCGTAAACTTGCATGTTATCTTACTTCACTTACTCCTAAGTTTCATTTCTATCCACGTTTCCTCGGCTTCTATTGCTTCTTCCTCAACAGTTCTCTTCCATGTCTATTTTGGGCGCCCTCATCTCCTTAAAGATTTCAGTCAAGCTGTCATCTCAACTGCTCGATGAGGTTTGCTTAGAGTGCTTGATTTGGTCTCTAATGACTAATGAGTCATAGATAATGTGTAGTTGTAATTTGTTCGACATCCTCTTGGTGACCTTCCATGTTCTACACTCATACAGGAGTATTGACAGATTGCTGTTGAACAAGCGAAGTTTTGTTCTTTTTGAAACGTTCTTATTTCGCCAAATAGGGCTCTGTCCCTTCATATTTCCCAACTACAGAATTGATCCTCATCTCCTTCGTTTTTTGAACATTGACTTTTAGTCCTACTGCTTCTCCTTCATCTTGCAGTTTCCTCAACTGTACCTCCATATTATAGTAGACAAATGTCTACAAAGTCAAAGTCATTAAGTCTATCTTGTATCCCCCACAAAATACCATTTCTCCTTCCTTCACAGCTTGGATTCCTTAGTTCTTTGTAGATTATTTAAAATTTTATGCCATTGTTGGTGTTGTTAGATTACATTTGATCTGCTTCGTGTCTTTTGAATATCTAATGCTTATTTTTAGTGACAGTTTTTCATTCTTGGTTGGTCTATAAAAACTTTGTATATTCTGTAATCTTTCGGTTTTGTGCAATTTTGAATCAAATCCTTTCCAATACGCTTTGCACATCCATATGCTTGGCAATGATTAGATTGGAATAATAATTTAGACACATTACTTAGAGGTTCCAGAACGAAGCTATGCCTTATTTTATATATTTCTTTATGTCCTGGCTTGACTTGAATATTAAGACAAACATGTGTAGTGGTTTTGTAATTTCCCATTTTAGATTATTTGTAGCTTCCTCAACTCGATGGTATGGATTCTTTATCTTTCTATTTCTGCCATTGTAATTTTGTGTTTCACCTTCATTAATCTTATTCTTTAAGAATAAATGTTTAAAAAATCATATCTCGAAACCTAATTGAGATATCGTCATGAAATAAAAAGCATTTTAAAACAAATTTAATGAAACTTAATGTGTCATAAATAATTTCTTATTTTCCATAGACATCGTTGCTATGAATTTTTAATTTTTATTTTATTTGTCGAGTATTTGCACCTTCCAATCATCTTCACCCAGTTATCTCCTCTTCATCTCCACATTTATATCCTGGATCTATTTTTCCTAAGCCTACCTCTTTTGTTTCTTTCTGCTGGCACTCAGTTCTAAACCTTAAGTGGGGTTCTCTTTTTAGTCGTTCGGCGTAGATGTCTATACCATTTTAGTTGCTTTTCATTTATAGTGTCTATGATTGAGTTTTGTGCCTCATTCTTCTTCTTATTTCCTCATTTTCAACTCGGTCCAGCATGGTTATGCCGCAGCATCTTCTCCAAAACATCATCTCTACTGCTGGCAGTCTTCGAGATATGTCTTTGTCTCTCACCCACACTTCTAACCCATATGTCATTCATGGTTACATTACATTACATCTTTATTGTCCTTTCCATCTTCGTTTATAACTACCCCAAGGTATTCATACTGGTCTACATGTTTTATTATGCCGGTCTCCAATTGTATGTCCTTTCCTGTTCCTCCAATTACCATATGTTGGGTCTTATCTTTGTTCATTTCCAAGTAACATTTATTGTATTCTTCTTCTAGTTTATTTAACATATATCTCATATCCTCTTCGTCCTATGCAAAAACTATTTGGTCATCCTCGAACAGCATGGTGTGTATGTGCTTGTCTCCTAGCCATATATCCATCGGGTTGCATTTCCTTTTCTAATATTATAAGGTTGAGTAGATATAGATCTTGAATATTGTGGAAAAGAGGCACCATTCCTGTTTGACATCTTTTATAGGAGAGAAAGCATCAGTTATAAGTTTTCCTATCTAAATCTCTGCCGCGTTATCCCTGTATAACGCTTTCACAGCATGGAAGTTCTGTTGATGCCTACATCTGTCAGGGCAATCCATAACTTCTGAAGTGGGACCATATCGAAAGCTTTTTTCAGATCTATGTATGCAATATGTATTTTCCTTCCTTTTGACAGATTTTTTTTCAACTAGGTGTCTAAGCGTGAATAAATTATCGACGCAAGACCTTCCAGGTCTGAAACCACTTTATTTCTCTTCCTCCTTAATTCCCCTTTCTATCCTAGTTTTCAGGACTATTCTATATAACCTTCCAACCCTATGTAATTCCCGCATTCCTTCCTATTTTCTTTCTTGTATATGGGGATTATTTGCGACTTTCTCCAATCTAGTGGAATGTCATCTCTTCTAAGACTTTCAGGTACTACGTTTGATTATATTATCATAGGTTGCTTCCACCTCTAGGCGTGTGTCTATATATTCTTCACTCTGTTAATAGGTGTGTATAGTACTTTTCCCATGTTTCTGTGTTTATGGAATTTATTTTGTTCTTCTCACTTGTGTCTTTTCTCAGATTATTGATGGTATTCCAGGCTTCCCTAACTTTCGACAATCCTATTTTAAAGTTTATATTTACACATTTTGTGTTAAATGCTTAACTTTTTTGGTTTTTTTATTTCTTTTTTGGCTGTATGTCTACAGTGTGTTAATTAATTATCGTACCTGACGTCATCATTGCAAGTATGCAACTAATATCACAGTATTGGTATTGCAATAGGCGATTTGCGTATTGAGATATATTCAGTGTGATGTTGGATGCTTACTTGCAATGATAACATGAACTACTACAGAGTACGAGTGTGTTCGGATGCGTCTCGTGCAGTTCGTTCTTGCTGGTATTTGTTTCGTGGTAGAAAGTCGGCGAAGTGGTGTTTGATTAGTATTGATGCACTCGCGATAACATTTTTCTTTTTTTACCGGCTGTATATCGTTCATTAGTACTGGATTTATCTCCAATTATTTAATTTTATTATTGGTATCAATTTGCACAGATAAAAACTAGTTTTTCCGATGCCTTCAATGCAGTGCGGGTGTTGCGGACCGCTGGTGGGGAGAGATAAAGCGGGAATTCACTGCGTGTCGTGCGATGTTTGGTTCCACGCCAAATGCGTGGAGCTCTCCAAAGCTGCGGCCTCGGCGCTCTCCGCCCCAGGCTCGTCATGGCAATGTCCTGGTTGCCGTCCGTCTTTTAACCGTAGAAAAACTATGTTGCCGCATGACTTCGATAATCGCGGTGTGGCCTCCACTCCGACAATCGAGGCTGTCTATGAGATGGTTACCGAGATACGTTCGGAGCTTAGATCTATGAAAGCTAGAAATGATGAGCTAATGACCTCCGTTCAATTCTGCAGCGATCAAATATCCGATTTTGAAAAACTTATTCAAAGAAAAGTGCATGGTTATTGATAGCCTTTCTTCCGATAACGTACGTTTGAGGAAACAGGTCGACACCTTGTCGGTTAGGGTTGCGGACTTGGATCAGTACTCCAGACGTAACAATCTGGAGATACAGGGCGTACCTGAGGCGGCCAACGAAAACATTGTCGTTGTTATGAATAAAATCGGCGGCTTTCTTGAGGTCCCGTTAAAATGTGATGATATTGACGCTATACATCGAGTACCTCACATCGGCGATGTGAGTCGACCAAAGAACATCGTCGTGCGTTTCTGCAATCGTACCAAACGCGATTCTTTTCTCGCCGCTGCCATTGCCAAGAAGCGCTCCCTTCCCAAGGGTTCCCGTTCTGGTTTTTTGATTGATGGCCTATCACAGCAATGTTTCATCAATGAACACCTTACTGTAGCGAATAAAAAACTGATCGGCGCCGCTAGGGAGACGGCTAAAGAAAATGGTTATAAATATGTCTGGACGCGCAATTGTAAAATTCTTGTCCGTAAAAACGACAGTAGCCGTGTTATCCAGATTAATTCCGACGGAGACTTGCGCAAACTACAGTAGTTCTCTTCATGTATAAGCAAACTTAGATATTTTCTAACTCGCAATCGTCTAATAAATTCATCTCCCTCTACTATCAAAACGTACGCGGCTTACGCAGTAAAGGTACTATTTTCTATAGAAATCTACTGAGTGCGGGTTTGGATGTTGTCTGCCTTACGGAGACCTGGCTTTGTCCCGGAATTGAATCTGCAGAGTATTTTCCCGATTCATATGTGACTTACAGGCGTGATTCGGGTGCTCGGCGTGGAGGTGGTGTGTTGTTGGCTGTGGGTTTGTTCGCAGACGTTGAAGCAGTGTGTGTTGCGTTGTCTAATGGCTCTTTAGTGCTTAACATATGCTGTGTTTATATTCCGCTATGTGACAATGTTGCACTCTCGCGATTTTCCAGGTCTTTAATTGATGTAATTGAGCGACACCCCAATGATGGTTTCTCATTTGTGGTGATTTCAATGTCCCGGAAATCGGGTGGTCTTTTGACCCCGTCCGCCGCTACTGTGTCCCGCCCAGGGCAACTTCTGCAAGAGCTACAGAGTTCTTGGACTCCGTCTCCTTGGCTGGTTTATCTCAATTAAATCATCATTGTAATGACTTTGGTAACGTTCTTGATCTTGTTTTTTCCTGTAATGTATTTCATTGCGAGGTTGATTTGGGTGATCATGCTTTGGTGCCGGAGGACCGTGCTCATACTACGCTAGATATATCATACAAATTCTTAATTCCTAGAAATTTATCCCACTGTAGTGAACCAATATATAATTTTAAAAAGGCATCATTTGATCAAATCACTTTGTACTTAAATGAGGTGCCCTGGCGGGATCGTCTGAGCGATGGAACCGTGGACGAGGCTGCCACTTATTTTTACGAAGTGCTATCTGACGCTTTTAAACTTTTCGTACCGCGCAAACGAGTCTTCGTACTCGGTTTTCCGTACTGGTTCTCAAAAGATACTATAAAAGTAATTCGTGAAAAACGTAAGATGCACAAGAAGTGGAAGCGGTATAGAAATCGCCTCGACTATTTAACTTTTTCCCTTTTGAGGGGTCGCTCAAAGTTCCTTATCGATCGTGATTATCGCAATTTTATTGTCAGTGCGGAGAGCAGTATACGGCATGATCCCAAAAGGTTTTGGTCATTTGTTAGAGCTAAGCGCGCGACAAGTGACTTGCCTGCAGAGGTTGCGTTTGACGGTGTCACTGCTACCGATGGTGCACATATCTGCGACCTTTTTTCTCGTTACTTCGGCTCAGTATTTAATGCTTCGCGGACCTCGAGCACCAGCAATGGCTCCCGTTGTGGTAGCCCACGTTTTTGCGACCTGTCTCTACAATTTGAGCAGGTTGAGATCTTGAAAGCTCTTAGAGCCGTTAACCCTTCCGGAGGGCCAGGTGGTGACGGTATACCTCCTATTATAATAAAAAATTGTTGTGAATCTCTTAGTGAACCGTTATCAATCCTGTTCAATAGATCTCTGAAAGACTGTGTCTTTCCGCTAGTCTGGAAGCGGGCCTCTGTGGTGCCTATTTTTAAATCTGGCTGTAGAAGCTTGGTCGAAAACTACAGACCAATTTCTTTGTTGCCCATTTTTGGCAAGGTCCTTGAGAGCTTAATTTACAAGCCTATTTTTTACACTGTAAAAAATGTTTTGGACCCTCGACAACACGGTTTTTTTGCTGGTCGTTCGGTAGAGACCAATCTTCTCGAATATACTAATTACATTTTGCATTCTTTCGATGACAACTGCCAGGTGGACTCTGTTTATACTGATTTTAGTAAAGCTTTTGATAAAGTTGATCATCGGCTCTTACTACAAAAAATTGAACATGTTGGTTTACCCTACAGCATTCAACAGTGGCTTGCTTCCTACTTGGCTGATAGAACGCAGTCGGTTACAGTTAGAGGTTTTTCCTCGCAGACGGTGTCAGTCTCATCCGGCGTACCTCAGGGAAGCATTCTTGGACCTCTGCTTTTTAATATTTATATTAATGACATATTTAAGTGTTTTAAACACGCTAACTGTTTAATGTATGCAGATGATCTAAAGATCTTCTGCCGCGTGTCAAATCCTAGAGATTGTTCTGCTCTTCAGCGTGATCTATACGAACTTGCTCAATATTGTTGCACAAACTTCATCACCATGAATTATAGTAAATGCTTTACAATTACTTTTACAAAAAAGCCTGGTCCCATACGCTTTGACTACATCATTGGAGGGAAGTTGTTGAACAGGGTTACTTCTATAAGAGATTTGGGCGTGACGTTTGATAGTAAGCTATTATTCAGTGAGCACGTCGATTCGGTGGTTAGCAAGGCTTTTCGTATGCTTGGTTTCGTCATGAGATCGGCTGCTGATTTTACCGACACTAATTCATTAATGACTCTCTATTATACGTATGTATTTAACATTTTGAATTATTGCACTGTTGTATGGAATCCACAATATAATATATTTGTGGAACGACTAGAGCGTGTCCAAAAGAGATTCGTTCGTTTTTTATGCTGGAAATCTCATACTACCTATGCTGACTACAACTCGGCGTGCCAATCTTTCCACTTGTTACAACTTGGCCAACGGCGACTTGCTAATGATATAATACTTTTATATAAAATAATGTATAATATTTATAAATCATCCTCGCTTACATTACTGATTAACTTCCACGTCCCACCCAGATCGCTTCGTTTTGATTTTCTGTTCTTTACTACAACTCCGCGCACTAACTCCTATCAGCATTCGCCATTGCTGCGCTCTGCTGACCGTCTTGCTATTGATATATTTGCGTACGATTCCTTAATCTCCTTTAAAAGAGCGACCCTTGCTGCTGTTGGGAACATGCCGTATATAGATTAATTTATATAGATTGATTTATACTTACAATTAGTTCTTGTCCTTTCACGTGCTGATTGTTAGATACCTTGGTTTTTTTCTTTTTTTTTTCTGTTATTTTTGTTAAATTACTTATGCAATTTGAGATACTGATTTAAGTATTTTTGTGTCCTTTTTTTCCTTTCTTATTGTATTTTTTTAGTGGCACAGCTTGAATTGGGTTTGTCCTGTGCTGTGTCCCGTGAGCGTAAATAAATAAATGATGACGTCGGGTACGATTATTAATTAACACACTGTATATCTGTTATATTACGTGCAATTTTTTTTATCCTCTAACCATTCTGTGAGTATAGCTTTCCTTTTCATCTAATGCTTCATGCATTTTGTCTTTTAGTTTCTCGTAGGTTTCTTCCTACCTGTAGTAGTTTGTAGAGGAAGCTCGTGGAGGTGGTTTCAAGCTGTCTATGTTGTAGTATTTTCTCATTGTCGTTTCCAGTTTTGCTTTCTCTATACTTTTCTGTTCCTGTTTTTCATAAATAATAATAATTTCTTATTTTCTATAAACATCGTTGTTATGATTTTTACAAACAATAAATTTAAGTAACTTTTTTTTAATACATTATTAAAAGAAAACAATTTTTTCAAAATTTCTCAATTTAATTTATTATTTTGAAATAAATTTATAAATTAGAATGGATAAGCTCATAGCTTAACCGTCTTATTTTCGTAATTTGATTTTAATGTTTATGTTTATTCAACCGTTTACGAATGTTTCGCGTTTCTAAGAAAATAAGTTCTCTTTAATTCTTTTTTATTATAAAAATTTAATATTATAATGAAAGAACACAATATAAGATGATTTGTAGCAATAAAATTTAGCCTCTAATTTAATAAAAAATAAAATAAGCACTTACTTTATATTATAAATTGAACAATTTTTTTGATTAAACACGTATTCGCATTTTGATATTCATTAACATAACATCAAACTTCTTTTTAAACTAAACATGCCTTGCTATATTCCCATGTTGTACAAATACTCAAGATTGGTTCATATTTGGTACGATGGCGAAAAGAATTTTTTTTATAAATTTAAAATTTGGTTTCATTTAACAGTGGGATTATATTTTGTTATTGGTATTCAATTACATTGTTTCCATATTTTAACACGTACGTTTAATTAAACAAATGTTTATTATTTTATTTTATTTTTTTATTTTTCAGATTTGAAGGAATCGTCATCTATCTTGATATCGGAATCAATTTATGCCGCAGTTTGCGGCATAAATATTTATTACAATTACATAATAACCTTTTTAATCGAAAAACGTTCCTTAAATTTATTCGAAGAACTCCAGGATTTTACGAAATTCGGGGAACCACCGATCGCTAAGAAACACATGGGTATCGTCGACATTTTAAACATTTTAATATGTTTATATATATTTTTCGGTTGCTGCGTGATTTTTATTAAAACTGTATTTTTAAAATTGTTTATTTGTCCCAAAGGGATTACTGATAAAATTGCGTTATATTGTACCGGATATCCGGTCCAAGTAAAATATTATTTGTATTCGGTCGAAGAAGGATTTCTTCATTATTTACACGTAGGGATTGCTTGGTATGTTATTACTTACTTATTGGAGGTCGGAGCCTTATCCGGGGCTGCTTGTTTTACTGCCTTTGAGTTGGTAATTGTTAGGTTAGAACATCTTAAAGAGAAAATTGGAGAAATTTTTGAGGTCGTTGCAGAAAAAGAAAGAAAAGCTCGACTTAGAAATTGTATTCGTTATTATATTTACATCGCACGGTAAGATAATACTTCATTATATAATAATCAAATTAATTAAATACAATTTTTTAGATTAGTTGATCGAATAAATATATGTTACAACAAATTTCTTGCTCCTTGCCAGGTCGCTTACAGCGTCATCATTGGAGTGTGCTTTTTGTCAATTCTTAACGTATTAAAAAAAGGATTTATTTAAATCTCAAATTAATTTTCTTAATTTTTAGAATTGCGAAGTTAAACCAATTATGAATGTGGTGGGTTGGATTATGGCGATTTTTTTGAATTGTCTTTGTGGTGAAAGAATGATATTTAAAGTACGTTTTAAACTTTAATGGTAGTCTTTTGAGTCAATCATTTTTTTTTTAAATTAATCATTTTAGAGTGTTGAAATCGCCACAGCTTTATACGATACGAAATGGTACAAAGGGAGCCCTTCGATTCGTAAGGATATCGCTTTTATGATGATGCGCACGCAAAAACCGTTGTATTTAAGAACTGGGCCGTACGGAATTTTTTCGCTGCTTACTTTCAAATCGGTATGTGTCAAAAATTTTGATTTTTAGTTTGCTGCAATTTTTGATTTTTTAGATTATGAAAGGTGGTTACACTTATGCCACAATGAGAAATCACTCGAATTCATAAAAAATAGATACAGGCGAAGACACTGATGCTTTTCATATTAGTCATATACAGACTAATATATATGTCCCACGACGTGACTGCCATAGCTTGGGAGTGTGTTGCTGGGGTGATTTTATATCAAAAAACGTACACCCAAAACGCTATCGTAACCGAGGATTTGTCGGATAATATCGTTTAGTGATGAAGCCTCATCAATAATACCAGGAATTCACATTGTTGGGCACTTGAAAATCCATGACAAACTCGGGAATACCATTTTCAAGATAGATTTTCCAATATTACTGGATGANTATTAGTCATATACAGACTAATATATATGTTCCATGACGTGACTGCCATAGCTTGGGAGTGTGTTGCTGGGGTGATTTTATGTCAAAAAACGTACACCCAAAACGCTATCGTAACCGAGGATTTGTCGGATAATATCGTTTAGTGATGAAGCCTCACAATAATACCAGGAATTCACATTGTTGGGCACTTGAAAATCCATGACAAACTCGGGAATACCATTTTCAAGATAGATTTTCGGTGAATGTTTGGTGTGGCATTATTGATGACCGCCTCATTGGTCCGTTTATAATTGAAGAACGACTCACGGTCATTCGTTATTTACGTTTCATTGAAAATGATCTTCCAATATTACTGGATGATGTTCCTCTTAATGTAAGACAACGAATGTGCATTCAAGACCTTTCTTCAAGTTCCTTGGCAAGCAAGGTCACCAGACTTTAATCCCTTAGATTACTTTTTATGGGGAAGACTGAAAAGTTTAGTTTATGCAGAAAATATTGAAAACAGAGAACAACTAGTAGGTAGAATTATGGATGCCGCAGAAATTATTCGTGCTGATTCTGAGCCTGTTAGCAGAGCTACCACTTCAATTCTAAGAAGAGCTAGACTATGTATACAGCAACTGGTGGACATTTTGAGCAACTAATTTAATAAAGCTGTTTTCCCAAGTTATGCGAATCACGTCGTGAGACACCTGTATATGTTATTATTAGAGCTCGGATTTTTAGGCAGTCAAATTGTAGGAAATGTGCGCATAAATATACCAGCTTTTTAAATATCATTCATATATTCATAAATATACAAAAAATATGTAGAAATATGCAAAAATATAGTTATTATCAATCTAAACATAAACAATTAAAAAGCAGTTTAAACTATCATTCATATTCAGCATTTAACCACATTTAAAAAAAGTGCATTTCTTAGAAATTTGATTATTAAAATATATGTTATCATATATGACTTTAAAAAGGATGTTTTAAACTTTAATTTAAGATATAAATCGTTTCTCCATTCCTAGAAATAATCTTCAACTAATTATTCAATGTTGACGCTTAAACAACCCAAGCATTAATTATCATATTTAAAAAAATGTATTTGTTAGAAATTTGGTTATTAACAAAAATCGTTTTTTAATTACCAGAAATAAACTTCAAGTGATTATTCAAAGGTGACATTTAATCAACTATACCATTAGTTAATATTACATCATATTTAAAAAATATGTATTTCTTAGAAATTTAATCATTAACATATATGTTATCAT